CCACTATCCAGAGCAGGCAATGGGGAACCACTCTGGTACTAATTTCCCCAAGACTCACCTTGGCGCAACACGAATCACTAATTAATCTGCGCCAGGTGCTCGCCGACGTCAGGTTGATCTGATATGGCATGAAGAAGAGTTTCCATCTAGTGAGCTGTCTAGAACTGAGTTTTTTTTTGACATGAGGCAGCGTTTCTTAAATTAAGATGTCGCAAGCACTTGAGGGTTAAGCCTAAAGAAAAAAAACCTGCAACTTTAGAGATGGGATTGATTGATGTGGCAATGCGACTTGTAGACGACCTGCCGAGTAGGATACCTCTCGGGAGAACTTTCTATGTGAAACTAGTCCTTACTTGAATGTTATATACGTGAAGAATACCCGGATAACCATATAGCCCGTTGGTAAGGCGCGAACCCATTAACAATTTCTTGTGTTCAGTGGTTTTATCCACTTGGCAGTTACTATTGAGCCATTTAGAGATTGGGAAATTTAAAACCATAAATTTTCAAAATGTGTTCGATGTTATTAATTATCAGTTCCTGTAATTAAAATAGAAATAAAAGTTTTTTTTAACAGATGCTTCAAAGAATTTATCCGACCGTCACAGGAAAATTCAATGTAATTTTTAAACATCTTAAAAAATCTATCGAAGCGAAAGGATATTTTTTTAACTTGAATTTTATAAAAATTCATCATCAAAATCTTAAGCTTTGCTGATGATAATTTAAATGCGATCGGCCGAAGCGAAACCAAGTTTTGATTTTATAGTCCTTATAACAGTAGCGGATTTCCCATTAGATCCACTAGGCACGAGAATAGGAGCGCAAAAATTCAAAATAATAATAAGAAGAATAATAAAATAATTACGAAACAATTCATAAAGTAATTAATGCTAATTAAAAACTTAAGTAGGAACAAAAGACAAGTTGTTATAGTCCGCGCAGAGAAATAGTAGACATGAGTTAAGCCTGGACTCCACATTACCTGAAAACAGAAACTCAGAAACAGAAATGAAACATACTGTATTGAGTTTTCGTTTCAGTTATGTTTTCGTTTTAACTTGACTACACTAGAAATGCGCCATCTGTTGGTCAGTTCTGTAATATGGTCATTCCAGTAATATGGAGTCCAGGCTTAATTGTATGAATATATTTTGCACGAACAGAGTGGTAAATACAGTACCAATGACGTGTTTTCAATAGCAGTGCCCTTCTCTCTTTCGATATTTGAAAACCTGTAAAAATACAATTATTTCATAATTGAAATTATAAAATAGAATCATTCGATGCTAAAGTGGTACATTGTGGACATAGGGACGCCATATTTCTAAATACGCCACTGTTATTCGTTTTTTAAGTGATTCGCGATTCTTTTTATCTGGAAATATTGGTAATTTATTTATTTATTTAGCGTATGTCTACGTCTAGTTAGTAAAAAAAAAAAAAAACAGAAAGCAAAAAGAACGCAAATCATAAATGTAAGTCTAAGTTAATTTAAGAACATAGTTTAGGGGAAAGAACATAGTTTAGTCACAATCAGGAAGTCACTCAGTTTTCCCGAATAGGATCTTATTGGACAATCTTCCAAAATATCCAAAATATGATGCATGGTCTGTCTTTCAGCACCATAATCACACTGTGGAGATGCAACTTTTCCTCACTTAAAAAGATTGTTTCTACATACCCCATGTTTTGTCCAAATTCTATTCAGCACACTCCAAGAATTTTTGGATAATTCAAATTAGGTGGTCGCGTTATGATACAAGGGAGTTGTTGACTTTCCTTTGGATAGACATCGGCCCATAGTCTTTTCCAAGATTTAATAAGGTTGAAATTGCTGGAATTCAAGGACTTAGCTCTTAAGAGAGGGAGATGCCTTGATTTAAGTCGATTTATGTTGAGGTCATCGATATCCTGATGAATCAGGAGTTGTGGACTGCACATTATTTTCCTATATTCCCTGAGCAGAGCGTCATCCCTTCGGAGTATAGGCGGAAGATATGACTCAAAATAGGTAACCAATCAATAGTAGATTTAATTAAGAGTACCTGTTATGATACGTAGGGTATTATTTAATTGGACATCTAGTTTTTTAATGTGAGCACTGCTCATCCATACCGGCGCACAGTATTCCGCTGCAGAGAAAACCAAGCCAAGAGCAGAGATCGGTAAAGTAGACGTTGAAGAGCCCCATGTAATTTCATATAACTTTTGGAGGATGTTGTTTCTGGTATTAACTTTGACAGCAAGGTTCATCAGATGTGTTTTAAAAGACAGAGTCCTGTCCAAAGTGACACCAAGATATTTTGGATTCTTATTATATTTCAGTAGATTATTTTAAAAATAAACCTTTAGTTCTTCATTTGCCAATTTGTTATTAAGGTGAAAGCATGTAGCTTCAGTTTTTGTCACACTCAATTGAAGTCTCCACTGGCGAAAATATTGTCCTAACGTAGATAAATCCTCTGTCATGGTCTTCTCAGTTATCGCAAGGTTTTTATGTCTCGTGGCAATCATCCAATCATCTGCATACCCAAATTTTTTTGCTTTTGTTTGAGGCAAGTCAGCTATGTAAAGACTAAAAAGCAGTGGTGCCAAAACAGATCCCTGAGGCAGGCCATTGTTTATATAGCCTATATTTGAAACGTTACTTATCATATGTGGGGTTTAGTTACAAAATGTACCACGTGGATTTTTTTGATATTTTGAGAAAACTTCTCGCTTAAAAACTCTGGAAACTAGAGAGGTGATTTAAATTGATGCCTACCAGTACCGATGCGGACATTATACTGAGGTATAATCGATAGCATGAAATCCCAGAGATTCATTCTGTTTTATCATGTGGTGCAATTTGGCAGCAAGATTTACTTAAAACTTTGGTAAACGTTATAGCACGTGGTGCACTTTACAAACACGTTTGCAGTATAATGTACCGTACTTCAATTTGAAATACAGTATACCGCATTAAGCCGATTGCTTTTTCATGTGGTATTTTTAGCAGCAGAAAAAGACGTAATTTTTATTTACACACGATTCGTCAAATGTAGCTAAAGCTAGTTTTTTTTGGCTTAAATTACATAGAAAATAGTGAACATTTGAAAACCAGGTCTTCACTACAATGTAGAATCTCGATACAGATTCCAAAAGAACCTCATACTCATTTTTCGGCAAAAGTCACGTGGTACGTTTTGCAACTAAACTCATTTTTCTCTTCCTATCTTTGACGAATTATATTCATACATTATCGTTAGAAAACTGCACATTCGTGCGAAATTATGACGTAGAAAAATGCTTCTAACCCATTCACCAGAAGTTTATTTTCAGATGATTTAAATTTTTATTTTAAAAATCTATCTAATTTTAGCTTTTTATAATTTACTTATTAATTAAGGGATTAAGTGGGAAAGTTGTACAAGCGACAAATGGTATAAATTGAATTTATTAGTGACAAAATTTAATTGATTAAAAGTCATATTTTATTAAATTAAATAAATAAATAGATGTATTTAATTGCATATAAATAACATTAAATTAATACTTTTTTGTATTTTGAATAAAAAAACACCTTTATGTCACTTATACTATTTCACTCATCCCTTCAATTAATCTATTTAATCACTGAATATGCATCATCTGTCGGGCTTTTTCTCTCTATTGTAAGACACAAATGAACAGAAAAACTTACCTATACTAATGTGTTATTAGCATTAACGTCGTTAAACTTAAAAAAAAAAGAAAAAAAAAACAAATTTAAATACAATATCAATTCTGATAAATATGCTCGAGCACATTCTACTGGCTATAGGATTGCATATAGAGGTTGTTCTCTAACAGAGCAATAATAGATTTGCTCTAGGGATACAATAATTAAAACACAGAAATCAATTTTACTATTTTCTGTGGATTTTTGAATAGAAACAAATCTCAGAAGAGAGAATTCATCAGATATAAATTCTCTCCAAATACAGTAATTCTCATCCATAAATAAATTTCATCGGAAATTTCTCTTCATAATTAAACTTCGAATTTAATATTATAAATTTTAGGGAATTAATTCAATAAATTAAAATGATCATTTATTTCAAGAGAAATTTCATGATTTACAGTTAGAGCTAATTTAGAAAACCTTCCTTAGCACATTCTGTCACTACTCAACGTTTTATTTTAAAAATATTTTAATAATTAATTAATTAATATAAATATAAAGATACAGGAAAGGAGTGAAAAGATTTTTTTAATTAATCAGATCGATAATTTCAGGACTAAAAACATTTCTCTCACTCGAATTATAGGTCGAATGGCGCTGCTTTATAATGCTTTAATCGTGTTTTTCGTATAGAATATTAATTTTATATATTATTTATAATTGTATTAATTCAAAAGCTCATTTGATTAATAATTTCTACGATAAAATCGTGGGAAGACATTATTTTAATAGCGATATTTGAGAGAATTTTGTTCGAAAAGTTCGTTAGAAAAAAAAATGGCGACTGTTGTAAGTTTCGTCATTGAACCATTTTCTTAGAATTTCTGGAAACTATGTGCAACGTTTATTCAAGTTCAATTCATTCTTAGAGAAAAACTCATACGTGGCGCCTGTTGAATTTCCACAGTCTGGAGAAATAGAAAAAAAAGAAAAGAAAAATAGAAGAATGAGTCCTCAAGGCTTTAGAGAACCAATCATTTCGTTCTAATGATTCTAAGATGTCAACCCGCATCACACCGTGCCTAATTTTATTATATTAATTTAAAATTCGTGTGGTCTTACTAATTACGATACGGCATATTTTTATGTACAAAAATTGATAAATTAGAAAAATATATATAAGGATAATTACAGAACTGTAATTAAACAATAAAATAAAAAAATTGATCTTTGTTTAAACAAAATGGTTAATAATTCGTACGAATTTCGAATAAATAATCTCCCATTCGTTCGAATAGTACTTTAAACTCTGCATTAAACATCCCGTTCGGATACCTGTAGGACAGGTATTGGAAGTATGGCCGTTGGGCTTGACGATCACAACAGTTTAGGTAATAACACATGGGACAAGTGAAGGAGAAAAAAGCCAAGTGTGGCTTCATGGCCCGACTTGGCAGAGGGAGAGTCCAAGTGAGGTGACGGGGTGGTATAGCCGTCTAGGGAGATAAACCGCACTCTGTACTTGTTTTAAGAAGACATTAGGTGCAAAATCGCAGTTAAGACGTGACGTCGAAACTTGGAATTTTTACGTTTGGTAATCTGCAAACACGTATAACAGCATCTTGCATTTTAGTAATTGTGTATAGGTGAAAACCATTGAAAACTCCGACATGGTTTCAATAATTTGTGTAAGTAGAATGCATTTCTCTCTCTCTCTCTCTCTCTCTTCTCCTCTTTATTTATTTATTTTCTTATTTATTTAAAGGATCTTTTTTGTATTTGTATAAAATTTTAATTACATTTATTATAAAGTATAAAAGGGATATAAACGGCGATAAATGATTTATTTTTAAATTTTAAAGTTAATAAACGTCTCCACAACTTAATTTAATTTATATTTATGTTAATTAATTTAATATTTTATCACTCCAATCGAGTTTATTAGTAAATATTAAGAGGTAATTATGTAAGAGCGTATCGTATTGTTAAATACCTGCTCATATAAAGTTAGAGAATACAATAAAATGTTAAATATCCTTTCAATTTCCAGTTAATTTATGTAATTTACACAAAACTGTAGTATTTAAATCGCAGAATTGAAATATTTAAATACGGTTTATTACCTTTAAAAAATGCCAATACGCAATCCAATAAGATAAATTAATAAAACTGTGGAAAGAAAAAAAATAATTATGACGTTACATTTCCTAGTTACATTTTATTTAGATTTATAGAATTTTAATTAATTTTATTTTCTACTAAAATTTTATTTTTTCATAAATCCAAATTATAAAAATTGTTGGTATCGCATTCATTAGGAAACGAACAAATTAGCATATTCATTTACATATTCATAATTTAAAATTCCGATATTCCAGTTCTTTATTTTCTTTTTTTTTCTGTTACGCATTCAAACATTGGTCGTTTCGCTAAATATTTATAACCTATTACGTGCCGGACTTATATATATATATTATAGGCTATACGTGTATGCTAATCTTCGCACATAGTTGGCTTGTATACAGTATATATATATAGTGTAAATACAAATGACGGAACTGTATGCTGTATATAAAGAGACCAGGATTGCCTGAGGTACAATACAACGAATCAACTTTCGATGATTGCTCTTCTAGGAATTTTTCAATGTCAGCCTTTTTGAAAGTTAAAAAAATCGAAACTAGTATTGTATCTTAAATTCCTTCTTAGAGGGACAATGCTAAGAACTCGATTTCTTTCTTTTCTTGTATATATATATATATNTTTTTGCGGTTATGACGAATTTAAACGGGTTCTTTTCGATTCTAGGTGACATACCAGATCGGTAGTGAAAGGCATTTTGATGACCTTTCACCGAGCCGACCATGACCTCTGTAGACCATTAAAAATAAAAAAATTAAGAAATTTTAAGAAATAGAAAATTTTCTTGTTTCCTATACAGCAGAACCACGCGATTAAAGAATGGCAAGTTAACTTAATACATTTCTAGCTTAAAAATTATGAAGTGTTTCGTGGTGGTTCCCGAACACTCCGATGCCCATTTTTTCAATTTAACTTAATTCACGTGTTAAGATTAATTCTGACATTTTTTATTTAAGCTAATAATATGGAAATGAAAACAATTGGAATTTATTCAATTATGGTCGGTTATATCTGCAAAAATTTTATTACTGTCAAATCTCTGAATTATAGCTAGTGAAGGAAATATGCTATTTGGAGGTTATTTCGTACTACGCATTTCAAATAGGAACGTTCCTGAAAAAATGGCTGCCGTTTAGAGATAGCCGTTATTAGAGGTTCTACTTTGCAACACTGAATCACCAGTGAAGTGATTCTAGTTACACATGTATATTAGAAGTACAAGATAAGTCATCAACTGATGTTGACAGTGGATTCTAATTGCTACTTTTTAATTTTTCTTGATTGCAAGTTAACTTGTTGGAATATCGTCTTATATTTTAATACATAACTTCGTATTTCAAAAACATAAAAAAAAAATAAAACCACTGAACACAGGTTGGTCACGGGTTCGTCCCTCACAAACGGGCAGTCCACGTGGTTTTCCGGGTTTACTTCACCTGTCTAACGTTTAAATAGGGGTCAGTTTCCTATAGAAAGTGGGAGGTTCCCTCCTTGGTTGCACTCATGTTACATTGGTTACGCCATGGTTACATTGCCTTATCTCATCAATCCAATCCAATGATTATTTTTGCAATTAAATGAGATAGTACATTATACGTTTCTGCAAATTATTGTTATATCTTTCTGATTTAACCTGATCCCTTCTAGTCACGAAATGGACTAGAGCAACGGAATAGGAAGATACACAAATGAACAGGAGAGAGAAAGGGAATCGGAGGAAAGTGACAAGAGAAAGGTTCTTGCATATAGAAAATAACTTGCTAATAATTCTGCTTCTATGAGAGATGATAACACAGTATGATTAATTTACACCATATTATTCCGGGAATATGAAAAGAAGATTGAGAGAATAGAACAAAGAATGTATTCTTGAAATTCTGAGTACGTTCTCTAAAAGAATATAGCAAGGTCTGCTGTCTTTATCAGTAAGGAAATAGCATGTAAATGAATAACCATAATAAGTTATATAAACGAGTTATTTTATTATTGAAAGAAATACGAGGATTGTTATAGGACCAATGCCAAATTTAATTAATTGCTCCACTGCATTTTTATCGTTTAGTCCAATAATACTTTCTTGACAAGCTCACAACTCATTTTATAGAGACATTTTTATCAGGTCATATACATCAAACTTTTGTTTAAAACCAATAGTAACATACAAGAAAAATATACTGTACATAAAACATATAAACAGTAGAACCCCGATTATCCGAGTTAATGTAGACCGATGATACCTCGGTTGATAGAAACCACTGGTAATCGCAGTTCTGTATATTAAAACGAATACAATCATTTCATTTCATTATTTATTTTTGTCATGAAATTTTTTGTCGTCTTCTTCTTTCCCTTTCTTTCTTTTCTTTTGTTTTTGCAGCTTCAGTGTGTGTCATATTATTTTATATTTGTCGGATGGATGATCACTGCAGCTTAGCTTCACATTGCCACTCTGGGGAATCCCGGATCGAGTTCGGGCTAGATTTTCCACGAGCACTAGCGATTTCCTAGACTTAAACTGAAGATGAGACGGCTGCCCACGTAAATTTTCAAATGAGCGAATATCTCTCAGCTTTTGGTCTATCCTTTCAGTCGACCCAGAACTAAAGCCTGTGAAAAGCACAATGGGCCTTTCCTCCTTAGTGCTGGAAACTTCTCCTTGTTTTATTTCTTTTGCATATTTGTCATTTTTTATTATACATAATCATTAGCAAAAAATATATTTCTCATCAGAATTTTCTGAAATTAATAACTTATATATTTACTCTTAATGCATTAAGCATTACATATATTTTTATAGGCTATACAGTTTTTGGCCTATGTATGGTGTAAAAAAATCTATATTTAAAAAATTTCAAATAAAAAAAACCTTAATTCTATATTATAATGCAGAATATAATTATTTAAAACATTTTAAGTATATTTGAGCCAATCAACATTATCGATAGGTTGAGTAACCTATACACACTTAAACAACACTTGATGCAACTTATGCACCTTGATTTGTATTACGTAAAGTACTTCAAAGTAATTATAAATGGGATATTTTAGACGAAAGTAAAATTAAAGTTGGTTTGTTTTTCTTGTGGCCTCATCACACACCCCTGGTTCATTCTCTGGTCACTTTTAGGAGGCGTGTCGCAGGTCCTGGAATCATTTCATCGAGGATGTTTATAAAAACAGGAATGTTGTTTATTTGAAGAACTGTAGAATGATGCCGTAAGATAGGAAAAATCCCATTTAAATGATTAGTTTTTCCTTAGAGAACAATACCTTTTAATTATCTATTGTAAGTTCTGACATTGAAAATATTCAGCTTGAATGGAATTATATAAAATCGCTTTCAGGTTATTTTAATTGTTGGATATTTAATGATAATTCAAGCGAGAAGCAGAATTTTATATCGAAGCTTATAGGAAGAATGAAGCATCAAAACTTAAAAATATTTTCGTGTGTTTTGCTATGTTTAATTAAATGTAAGGGGCCGCCCGGTTGCGTAACCATAGGGAACCCTAAGGTAAAATTTAATATGAATCACTACACATTTTAACTCCGCAATTAAATAATTTTTCTTCTATTTAGCATTTTATTAAGTTTTTCTTTTATTATTTAGGGTGGGCCTTTCCCTGATTATGCCAGTTTGTAAGGTCTACACCACTAAGATCTCATTTCATGATAATTGAATTTTCAGGAATTTTCGATGAATCCCTCTTTGGTTTACACATAATTAAAGAGGATAAAACGGGTTCCCAACCTTTATCGTGTATCATGTGTATCAGGTACCACCTTCAATATTATATTAGCCTATATATAAATATATAGGCCTATATAGCAACTTCCTACATTTACTCAAGAGCGAAAAAATGTGTAAAATTTTCGATATTTTTAAGATCTAAGGCGCATTCGTTTTGTCTAAATAGTGTGCTATCTTACGTCAAATTGACGTCATTGTAACAGTTTATCATAAGAAAATTGCAATAATGACGTCAAATTGACGTAGAGGTATATACTATTTCGAAAAAAAAACGATTGCACCTCTAATCACATCCTTGCAATTCTGAAAATATTTTAATGAAAACAATCAATTATGAATGTATAAAAAATTAAATTTAGAGAATCAGTAACTTGATTTGTCTATAGTCATTCTTATGCATATTTTATAACGATAACTGTACTATTTTCATGAATTTATATTTAAAAAATCTGTTGAAAGTTTAAATAAATATTCCGTACAGAGATTACGGTTAATATTTTGTATATTATGGTATTATCATATTAATTTAACGAGTTCGTCAATCTGTAAGGCAATTAAGTAGACCATAATCTTACTCGCCACTAAGATTTACACGGAGTCAGTGGCATACTTATGGGGGGTGATCGGGGTATTTGATCCCCAGAGGCTTTATGAAACTCTGAATTTTTCTCCATCCTGATTATACTTTTCACATCATCCTCTCAGATCACCCCAGAGCAGAATCTTAGTTACGCTACTGCACCAAGTAATTATTATTCTAAAACGTGTAGAGTATCGATCAGAGAAATGGAATTT